AAATACTAATGTTATAATGCCACAAACTATACTAACCTTTTCACGTTCAAGGATAATATCTTGAAAAAATGATTTCATTTTCCGACGTTTATTATCTTTATCCTGCTAACGAATCGCAATGAGAGAGCACCGAAAACTTCAGCAAAACCTCTGGATCGCACTATATCATGGGATATAACTACAACCCAGAAGCGCATCATCTCATCACTTGGGCACCGAAAACTTCAGTAAAACCTCTGGATCGCACTATATCATGGGATATAACTACAACCCAGAAGCGCCCTCACACCTGATGCTGTTGAGGTTGAGAAAAAGAAAAAAATAAAAGGACGAAAATATAAAATTTATACCTTGGCATGATAAATATACCTGCTATACCATATACCATCTAAACCGCCCCAGTCTTCAGTATATGGTGGTGAATTGATGATTACTTCTTTTAATTCATTTAAAAAATGTTCATAATTCCATGTTTTTCTATCGTGAGTTTCAAAATATTTTAAAACAGCTAGTAAACCCAATAAAGAGAATCAGTTTATACTGAGAACAAGTCTGCAAAATTCGAATCTTAACGAGCTTACCGTTGTTTCCAATATATGATTCAGTCATTGTTTTTAGGTGCGTTCTGAAGAAAAAAAATTTTTTTAGCATGCATCACGAGAATTTATTCTGTGTTACGCAATCGATTTTCGGCTCTTTAAATATATGGATTTGATGTAATATCGTTATTATTAATGGTTTTGATACACCCAATTCACACGGAAGCTTGATCCTGCGCAATACATCAAGAAGAATGGAATTTCGCTTAACAAAGAAACATATACACAGTAGTTCGCTGTCAGACTATTTATATGAATCGTTCTACCTATTACGTAGTTCTCCTTATAGTCCCTATCATCAAAAAGACTGATTATAAACGCGAAGGTTTGAATAATCCAAAAACTAAAACATCGTCGATGCTGGTTTAGGCTCATTCAATCCTCTTCTGCATGACGAACTTTAATGAATTTCTTACGCAATTATTAAAGTGGGCATGTAATCGAGGCCGCATTTAGAGAATATCTCCCCAGCATTAGCAAGTGCATAGTTGAAGCGAGTAAGTTAGTAAGTATAAGACTGTGTTTAGACAGTTGAGAATTTGCTAGTCACCGGTTAAGTACAACAATACGTGGTCCTGCACAATATATCAAGAGGGACAGAATTTCGCTTAACGAAGAACATATCCACAGTCAGTCTCGGTAAGTCGGTTTCACACGACAATTTCTGCAACATCATTTTGCACGATGTAATTATTATTATATTAATATTAATTAATGTATTAATTAATAATAAAACAAGTTTAATTGAAGGTATATTTCGTCACACGATTTTCGATAGTCGGCCATTTGAGTTGGCCGATTTATCGAGACTTTGTATTTCGCTTCCAGCAATACACGTAGTTGTTGCGTGTTACGTGTGGTGTATGACAGCCAACATAATTGGTGACTATAGAGACATACAGTCTACCCTCCATATATGCACGCCCCTTGGGAATGAGCCTGAGCGTGCATATATGGAGAGTGTGCATATATA